AGGATTGATACCCCCTCAAGGAAAAAAAAAGTTCCCATGTGCAACTAGTTATATATGCTTAATAACTTGCACTTATTAAAGATAAAAAAGGATCAGAATTATAGGCTTAGCAAGGATTAGAAAGCCATAAGTGCATATTTCTGCAACTACTACACTTTTTATAGCCCTGTCACACTCTGAGATAGAGTTGTATCATTATATAGAGTTATATAACTATAAAGAGTTATATCACTGGAAGCATTACAGCATTGTCCCAGACAGACTTGATTATCAGAGTCTGGCTCTATCAAGTGAAAAGGAAAAAAAAAAAAGGGAGGGGGGGGTAAAAAAAGCAACTTCAGGATCCTGCTGTGCCATTTCCTGATCCCTTCTGTTAACAGCACACTGTCCTGAATTGTAGGGGCCTCGTTAACACAACTTTGCATCCTGATTCAACATCCCATCATTATTCACTAGAACTTCCCCATCACTCCAGACATGACAAGCCTGATATTTCACTCCATGGGCACTCCAGATAACCAGTGAGAATCCTAGCAAAAAAAAAATAAAAAAATTCTAAGTTTACCCAGAGGCCATGGATTTTTTCACAGACGGTAACAAAAGGAATAAAAACATTGCACAACTAGGTGAAACTCCATTATTAACCAAAAATGCTGTTTTGGGTTTGGTTTTTTTTTTCCTCTACTTAAACTTTCTGCTCAATAGAATCTACAGCACTCCTGGTTTCAAATGGTGTTAACATTTTAAGTGGCCTCATTCACCCTTCTAATAGTTAGGGCCCAGAAAAATGGCTTCATTTTTTTCCTGACAAATAAACAGACAATTATTACCACTGTGTGTCTTTGGAGGAATTGAAAATCTTCAGATGTTTTTAAAAGGCCATTGGGTAAAGATTGAATAAAAACTCAGCAAGCTGATAAAAGCATCCAACTGTGACCCGACAATGGTACAAACATTAAAAAAAAGAAAGATTCTTTGGGTTTTATTCACTTAAAAAAATACATAATATGATCTTTCATATGCTTGTAATGGCCTTCCACCTCTGCTGAGCACGGCCTCGAGCCAGGACACCTGGGGATCTGGCCCTCTGCCACCACAGGTGGGACCTGCTGCTTGCCACTGAATCCACATCAGACAAATATTCCTATCAGCAAAGAGGAGCAGAAGGAGAGGAGAGATCAGACAAACACAGCACAGCTCCTCCAGCAGAAAACAAGGCACTGAACTCTCACACCTCTTCTTCTTCCACACTGCCCCCATCCACAGCTCATCAGCCACTGGCTCTGGAGCTGGGGCACTGTAAACCAAAAACCAAACCAAAAACCAAACCAAAAACCAAACCAATGGAGAATGCTCCCTCTGTCCTCCAGACCTCCACAGCTGCCAGTGGCACCTTCACCCAGGAGAGAACACATCAACCAGCAGGCTGATTCTTCCCTTCCATTACCATTTCTGCTGCTTCTGCTAGAGAGTTTTGACACTTTTGACTGGTTAGACACTTTTTAAAGTAATTTTCCATTTACAAGGAATGGCTTTACAGCACTTTTTGGTCACTGTTACATTGCCATACATCACAGGTCTCCCACGCATCACCCAGCAATAATAGATTGGAGCACGAGTAACAAGAAAACAAGTCAGTCCAATCTTTAGTGTTGACTGCCTGCACCCTCTCAGAAAACAAGGGGTTTGATCTCTGTCACTGTATTTTATGAGAGAAAGGTGGCTTGTAAATATCCCTTTTCTCCAGTCTTGCTTACAGTCCAGTAAGTTTCAACATCTTTCTGGCCTGCAGCAAATTCACAGCCTCCTGGGTAAGCCTGGGAAAAATTTTCATTACTTTTACTCCCTCTGGCAAGCAAAGCTCCCTCCTCCTCTTCCCTTCTTCCTCCTCCTCCTCCTTTCAGCATTAACAGAGCAAGTGGTGAGCACACAGGTAAGCAGGGACACACCATCTGTCACAGTGTCCCAGACCTCTCTGACTCCCTCTGCTCACACAGGGCTGTCCCTGTGAAATCAACTGCATTTTTTGAACTCAACAAGCACGATTTTAAGCCCACATCAGGGGAAAAAAATCCCACCTCCCCCTGGCAATGTGCTTTGTAATAAGACAACTGTTTCATTTTTCACAAACCCAACAAGCTGCTCCACACTTTGGGGCAGATCTGCACCCTCAGCACCACTCCCTGTCCCCCAAACCTGCTGTTCCCTGCCAAGCTCTCCACAAGATGCCAACCCCAAAGCAAGCAGATCTGTCCACCCAGCCAGGTATTTCCAGGAGTGGGGACACACAGACACTCTGCAGTGTAGATACAACCAGTGGCATGATTTAAGTACCTCACAGAAGCGTGATTTACTGAAGCTTCACAACAAAGCAACACACCTTTGAACAGTGCAGAACGATTTGGTATGGAGAGATTATTGCATAATGGCATCAATATTTTATTCCTGCTGAATTTTTTATCTCAGATTTACTGCTCCCATAAGTAACACACAGTAACTCATCTGCACCATAGTTACTTATGTATTATGTATGGCATGGTCCTGGCAGAATTTCTTAAGAAATATCCTTCTTTCAAAAAGGAAAAAAAAAAAATAAAAATAGCCCTTTCAATGGCAAATCCCAGCACTCAACAGTAGTGTTTTATTGAAACCCTTCATTCCACAAGACTTAAAAAATTCTCCACTAGATTTTAACGTATATGTTTACCAATCTCATAATTCAAAAAGAAAGTGGCCTGGCAGCTTCTAAGCATACTGTAATGTTATCTGCAGGGACAATAAATTATGAATCTCTCATAGCACCATGTCTGACACAAAAACACAACAATCCCAGTGCTGTGGGTTCCCAGAGACCCACACAGCTGGGACACACAGGGTAATGCCACAGTGCTGTTTTCCCACCCCTGTAGTAAAGTGCTGCAAATATTTGAATATGTTTTCCTCACATCCAGGATGCAAAAGACAAGCCTTAATTTATACAAGTGCAGAAGAAAAATCGGGTCAGTGGTTTGGAATGATGAGGTTTGTTGGAGGCACAGATCGATGCTCTCCAATGCTCTAATCAAAGCACCCTCAGCAGATTCTTAAGGCTCAAATTCTGTGCTTTAAAGGCACTTGGGAAATGTGGCTGCACTGCCTCTGTGATGTTCTGTTTGAGTTTGGGGGGTTTTGGAGTATGACTTTGACAGAAATAAGGGCTCTTTAGACATAGAGCCAAACCTCTCTGGCTGCTGAGGGCAGTATTTTGTGATGTCCATCACTAATACCTGGCACTTTAACTAATGGTGCCTTTCAGTGCAGAGCAGCAGCACACAAGTCATGCATTTCACTGCTATTGCTCTTTCCCTTAGGAACATCTATTCCTGGTCTGGATGCCACATGGGCTCTGCTCCTCCTGAGCCACAAGATGGGGAGGGGAAGAGCTCAGCCCCTGGAGCACATCCCTGCCTCCCCAGGGAAGGCAGCAGAGTTTGAATCTCCCAGGCTGAGAATCCAAAGGAGGCAACATTCATCATTCCTGCATCTGAGAGCCACCTTCAGTATGTTTTCTCTGTCCTGCTGCAGCCCAACACTTCTCAGTGCAACAAGTCCTGCGGGAAGTGGGGCAGAGCTGGGAAAAAGAGGGGATTTAGGAGCTGGTTCCATGTGAAATACATCTTGGTTTCCCCAGAAAGCATCAAATAGGAAACCTTACGAGAGGATTCTTGCAGAGACTGGCTTTTTCCTTGATGAGCTCACACTATATATTACATACACTGCAGCAAGGAGCCAGTCCTATGCCTTCAGATACCTATAAAGTCCTTTTAATTAACTGGCATTTACCCTAAAAAACTCAGATTATTTCCAGACAGAACTCCACATTATAGAGCTGAAAGTGAAATAAAGAACATTTTCAGGTTGCTAGCTAAATTGTAGAGGCAATAAAGTTTATGATGGCTGAGAAGGTATTCCTATATCAGGATCTTATAATTTTATGGATAATACTCTTTAGACAAAAAAAAAAAGTCATATTTAGTGTTAGCTCAGAGGGGAGCCTTTCATTTTAAGTCTGCCTTTATAAACTGAGTTTTCAGTTATCCAAACACTTGTAATAAGTGCTATCTAGATATTGAGAAATTACTTTAAATGCTGCGTGCATTCAAATGATACCAACTTTATCCTAAAGAAGATGGCTTAGAGCACACCAGCTCCAAGTGAGATATCAAGCCTGAAGGGAAAAACATAGCAAAGAATTAATCATCAGGAGGCAACTTCCAGGAGATGTGGATAATGTCCTTCTTTATGTGAGCGTGCATTGTTTCACCCAAAGCAATACACATGTAAACCTGACACAAGACACGTGTTTTGGAACTGAAGCAGAGGATGATGCTGCCAGATCCTCTCTGTACCTTTCCCCACCAATTTCTCCTGCAAGGCTGCAGGCCTGGCCATGAGCTGTTCAGTGATAAGAGCTTTCCAACAAAATCCTGCCCTGCAGCAGTTAATTAATGAGCACGATGCCCACTGCCACGCAGTCATCACTCCTGAGCAATAATCAAGGATTCAAGCAGGCTGCTTCCATCACCTTTCACCTCCAAGAGGGGGAAAAGGAAGAAACATCAGCATCTCATCACAAGGAGCTGGAATTATTTTTTTCCTGAAAAGATGACACCTGTCCCATAACAGAAAGATCTCCCAAAACAGCACAGCATTCAAACAACTCAAAACCACGTAATTTTTTAGAAAGTGCCAGCTGTAGTGATGTAGAACTGAATTGCAGGGAAAAAGGAAGGCTTGTGAGTCTGGAAAAACACTGGTAGGGAATTTCCACTCATGATGATTTATCCTTTTTTGGTTTTTTTTAAATAATTTAGGAGAGTGGCATTGAAACTTTGACAGGTCACAAAACATTTCCTCACTTCAAGACACAGATCACAGACATGACACATCCCTGTGACAGGTCTGAGCTCAAGCATTTACTTCTATCATTCACCAAAAATAATAATATATTTCATGTTTACCTTTTGTTGAATCATCTTCAATTGGTTGTTTGAACAAAGTGATATCCTTAAAGGTACACAAGAACAAAACCACTTTTTCGTGCTCATTTCTTATAGGTGCAATTTGCATGTAGAACCAAACTGGGGTCCCTGGAGCAGAGAAAAAAGTGACATTGGAATGTGGTGTAGCACAAACTACCCCCAACCCATAACATTTACACAGTATTAAACACACATGTAGTTTAGGTGTGTATTTCTCAGTATTTCTGCATCTTCCAGAGTTTTTAATTTTACTTCCTCCAAGGAAATCAACATATTCCCATTTTTAAAGCTTCATTAATCTAGCCAGATGATAAACAGAGACAGAAGGCTATACAAAAATTAATTCTGAAAAAAATACATTATTCTTCCCCTCTTGTTCTTGTTTGTTCCCAGCATGTCACACAGACTTAGGTCTGAAGGGTAGAAAGGTGAGAAAAAACACGTGGATGGCATCTTTGAGTCTCTCTTTACATAATATAGAGCTATCAAATCCAAAAATGATGGACTATACTGTGAATTGCTCCAAATTTTATATGACTACATTATTTAAGAGGACCTGAGTTGGGCTCTCAATGTCCTATCAGGACAAATCAGATTTGATTTCTTTTTAATGCTTCAGGGCACACCTCCACCTCCTCACTGCCCTGCCCAGTGCAGCACTCTCCCAGCACAAATATCTCTACTTAACTCCTGAAATGAAACCAAGTGTTTTTCAAATCCTACCACCCTTCAAATAAACAGCCCAAAACTGCCCTTGGCTTTGGAGTGGTCAGCTTGGCTTTTGGTAAATCCCTCCTGTTTGCAGAGGGCTCCTGCAGGTGCTCAGGAGCTGAAGCTGGTTTCCCAGGCTGACTCACACGTGGCAGTCCCCTACACAGATCATGCAGGTGTGCTCCACAAGGGGTGAAATCCTAGAATACTTGGAGCAATTTTCTTAGAATTACCCTGTTCCCCTGCAGGGCTGTGAATGTCAGATGTTCTCCATCCAGCAAAGCTCCGTGTCCCTCCCTCCCAAACCAGCACCTACACACACTGCACCACAAATGCCTTCACAGCCAGCTAATTACCTCTGGGACTTGATGTGCTTTCAGCCAGTTGACAGAATGGCTTTTCTCCTGAGCTGCCTGAGAGCTGACACATTGACACAAGCCTCTTGCCCACTGTTATCACACAGGGGCACTGCTGGCCCCCTCAAATCTGCTCTGATGCACCAGGTCCGGGAGCTGTGCCAGATCTGCAGCACACATCCCAGAGGGCAGAGAAAACCATTTGGGCTAGGACTACCGTGGGGAAGGTTAAAACCCACAAGGGCTTATTGAAATTCAACCAGGATTAAACCAGTAACTCTCTACCAGTAAACTGGAGAAGTGGGAGAGATGTGGGACTGCTTTTTTGTCATAATTCCAAAGCCATTATGCTGATTACTTGATTATCTTAATTCCCAGTTGCTAACCCAAGACAAAAGACTTTTCATAACTACTAAAACAGAGTGCTGCAGCTTTCTGGAGAAGTATCTTGCACTAACACCTGGGAATCTCTTGGTACCCTTTGAGATGAAAGCAAGTAGGCAAAACACCCTTTACAAGGGTGCTGACAAAAATCAGACAGAGGCAAGGTAGCTACTGCTGTAGAAGCAATAAAATGAAGAAAAAGCAGGTAAAGAGGTTTCCTGAGTATTACCATATATATATACATATATAGAGAGAGGCATGCAGGTACATATATATATATATATGCACACACACATATTTATACATATATATGTATGCATATATATATATATATATGTGTGTGTATGTATAAACAGGCATGCCTAATGTGGTTGGTGAATAGTTGTGTGGGCAGAGGTAAGGACTATATAATAAGGGAATTCTGCAGCAAAGCAGAAGAGAGTTGTAACAAGCTTTCAAGTCTTGAAGCTGGAACCTGCAAGCTGGGTTAGAACACCAAGGAGGGGTGTGGAGGCAGCAGTCAAACAGATGCTGCAGAGAACATCTTAAAGATCATCTCTAACACAGCAGGGAAGGATGGGAAAACAACCTGAAAACCTCAAAATCTTCCTCTGACAAAAGCAAAAGGGAATGGGTAAAAGAAAAAAAATATAAAAAAACAAACAACCAAACAACCCACTTTGTGCCACATTATGAAAAATACATACCACATCTGGACCTACAGTTTGAAAATGTGGGTGGGAGGGTGCTCTGAAGGCACTGCAAGCCTCATGTAGGTGATAAACACAAGCTCTTCCACAGAGTAACCACATCCACTCTGCAGAAGTACATTCATACCAACAGATAACTAATCTTAATTTCCTTCTCTGCTCCAATTTTCAGCCTGGAGGATAAGCAGGAGTGTCTTAAAGGACCATCTTCCACAAGGATCAGAGAATGGCAAAAGGAATCAAACCCTGAGCACACCCCTCCAGCTGCTGATCTGGAGCCAAGAGGTGAGCCTGTCAGCATTCTGGGTTCTGGGCTTTGGGTGATGGAGAAGAAAGCTGACAACAGATGTTATGGATGGGAAGTGACTCGAGCCCAGAGAGAATATTGAGTAATTTTCCATAAAGCCCTTCTGTAATCCTGCAAAACTTATGGAAAGTGTCGGCTTGGAGATCTGGGCAAAGGTGAAGATTTTATTAAGGCAGCTGCAGCTCAATAAATCTCTGCAGCATCATCAAGCTCCAGCAGACAACCCACAACCCAAAGCAAAAAGTGTCTGCCTTGTTACAGGAAAGTCACCAAGAGAAGACTTTCCTCTCTTTACACAAAAATAAAATAGAAAGGAATTTAATTCAGGCCCATTCTAGAGCAAGAGCTGCTCCAGCATTTACTAAGAGAAGCCAGAGTTGGGTAGAGCACCAAGTCTCTGGGATCTACTTTGGAAATAACATGGACACAGGGCATGGCAGTGCTGGGCACCACCACCAGCAAAGATACCCAACCTGAGACTGTCCCAGGAATGTGAGGGGGCATCCAGATGACCTGCACAGGAAACGGGGAGAGAAGCAGAAAATCTGTGGAGCAGACACATCCATATGTGGCTTAGGAACCAAAAAAAGGTCATTTGGAGGGCTCCCCTGGGCACCTGCAGGAACAGCTGGACTTCAGAGCTGCTCTGGCTTCTCTCTTTAATTAACATGTTGGCTAAAATGCCTTGATGCAGGCAGAACTGGAGAATTCCACAGTTTTCCTGCTATTACAATTTCCTGCTACTTTAGTGTCCACACAGGAAGATTTAGTCTAGAAAGGGAAAACAGAGGTAAAGCATAAGAGGAGGTGTCCAGCATGCTCCCTTCAATGTCATGGCAGGTTTAGGTGAGTTTGCAGTGAAATGGGGCAGTCAGGCACAGGGAGCTCTTTCCTGAGGCACAACATTCCCTTCCCTCAGCCACAGCATGCAGGGAAAAGCTCTGATAATCCCATGCCAGCATCAAAGCCCACCCAGGGGAGGCACAGCCTCAGATTCTGGGCTCCAGGCAGGTGGACCAGGGGGAAAGATGCCCAGCCCCACATCACCTACACCCAGTACAGGGCACTGAAGGCCAAACTGGAGAACATCTCCATCAGGATTGATCCTGGACTGCTCTTGGCCACCAACCCAGTCAGCTGGACTAATTCTGTGCAGAGTAGAGGAGCCAGCTTTTCTAGAGCTCATTTAATCTGAGTTTTGGCTTTCTATGTTGGGAAGATGGTCTGTGCTAGTGAAGGAGGCCGTCCATTTCCACTGACAACAGCAGGAATTGCAACCACCAGCTCAGCAGACCTGTCCACCATGCAAAGGTCCAGCGTGAGGCCCCACAACAGCATGGGCTGTGCTCAGAATGAGCTCTAAGGTCGACAAGCCAGCACTGCCCAGACAGAAAATGTGACTGGAATGGCTCGTGGTTAAGACAAAATGAAGAAAATCTCTGGTTCTGGCAACTTCCTGCAAACCCAGTGCCAAGAAAGAAGGAACACAGGCCCTGAATCTCACTAAGCTGTTGAAGTCCCTGGTTTTCTCACTAATCCCTGGGCTATGTGCCAGGCCTAGTACTCTCCCCAGAGCTCGTACGTGTTGGTTTACACACCACAGAGCATCTCGACACCGCCGGGAGCAGCCACTCACGGCAACCAGGGCCTGGGTTCTCACTTGTGGAGACATGGGGGAGTTTCCTGAGGGATGTGGGGGAAACTCATTCAGCATTTCCTTTCACTTAACCCAGTCGGTTTCCCTTCAGGGAAACAATCCTCAAAACTAAATATATTTTTGAAAGAAGGAGTCAGACTAGAGACAGCAGGGAACAACTACTATTCTTGGCAATCTGAATGCTTGGCCTGAAAAGAGAGCTCTCTTCCTGAGCTGTGGCAACCAGAATACCTGCTTCTTCTCCAAATTTTCCCCCAAATTTACTCATATGTCAAAATGAAAATTTCTTCTCAGCCTATTACATGCTTTAAATATGCTTTATCGCTCCCAGCACCACACACAAATATATACTTACTGTTCTTCTTGTAGAGGAGAATTTCGAAGCAGTTTGACTCATAGTTGTCAAAAGTCTGTCTGACTTTTTCAATGGTCTTCTTGTCTGTCAGTTCACCATACATAAAACTGGAAAAAAAAAAATTGTCTTTTTTTTCTAGACAAGCAACAACATTGTTACAGTCACCTTTAACTTTATTTAACTATATTGCTCTATTTTAGAAAAAATATTGAAGATGCTAGGAACTGTCATTTACCAAGGTTTAATTATGATTTATACTCCATTTAAATATTTAGTGTGTCACAAGGACACCTACAATAGCGAGTAACCATGACCACTTTCTTACTGTAAATGACTGCAAATAAATCTAACATAATGCTTCATTAAGTGCTTTACTGAGAATATCTTTAAGGATATATGGTTAGAAAAAAGAGCTGAAGGCTTATGAAGCCGCCATCACCACAGCTGCAGGCCATGGCAGTATTGCTGTCAAAACAGAGAAAATTGATCAAAACCTCTAAAATCTCACAAATTTTGCTCAATCCTCCTGAAAATCCTTCTGGAGGAGGGATGTAAGCTACTACAGGTAAAGCCTGTTTGCTGAACCGATGGCTGCAAATCTAATCTTGTCAAGATGCATCTGGGACAATAAGATAATTGGAATTCTTTTACTAAATACCAATACAAATAGAGGCAGGATTTAAACAGTGAGGGATGCAATGTGTAGCTATGTCTACACTACTACCAAACAACCAAATTCATCCTCATTTTCCTTACTGTAAACTGCATTTCTTTAATAGTTCAGTGGAAAATACTAAAAAGCTTTTGGAGACTCATCACTCTCCAGGCTGAGAATATAAAAATGTGATTTTAATTCTGCTATTTCTTGCCACTTAACCATCTCATCTTCGCATTCTTTTCCAGGTCAGATCTCCAGCTGGTGTAAGCAAACCCAACCCCCTGACCTTACTTTTGACAGCCTTTGTAAGGAAACAGCCAGGCTTTTATTGTCATTCTCCCCTGGATTAAAAATAAGTGAAGGCTGCTCTGTGCAAATTCCCAATTACAGAACTGAAAGAAAATGGAGCATCAGATAAAAGCTTTCAGACTCTTGGATGAATATATTTTTAATTGATCAGACTTTATTTTTTTTCCCCCCGTTCTCTTCTTTCACAAATAGTTTAGCTTCAGCTGAAACCTCCAACAGAAAATACTGAGAATATGAAAGGGAAAAGCTATCAGTGCCTCTGTGGTTTCAGTGCAGCTTCTCTTATTGATCAACAGACCTCCAAAGGTTCAATAAACATTTATTTTATGTCTACTGCTCTGAAAGAAACAATAAAACAACACAGTGGTTAGAGGCTCGGCAAGCATTAAAGTACTCAATGAAGGCCAGACCATGAATCTTTTCTCTTCACAGCCAGCCCAGGGAAGCAGTGGAGCTGCTCCCACAACAAGCTGCTGCCTGGTCTGGGTGATGGAGGCATCAGAGTGGCTGCAACATCTCAGCATCACTACAGCTGCCTCTTCACTGGTAACACAGGCACAGACATTGATTAGACTGGGTATTAGGAAAAACAGCACTGAAAGGGTGGTCAGGCACTGGAACAGGCTGCCCAGGAATGCTGTGGAATTGCCACCCCTGGAAGTGTCCAGAAAACACGAGGATGTGGCACTTGGGAACGTGGCTTGGTGGTGAAGGTGGCATTGCTGGGGTAGTGGCTGGTCTCCATGATCTCAGAGATCTTTCCCAAATGGTTCTGTGACCCTATAAATGGCATGGCAAGACTGTCACCTTTGGGACAGCAAAGGAGATGCCCCTACAGCAGCTGACAGCAGGAAATGGTTTTAGCCAGGCACGAGGCTTCATTAAGGTCCTGATTATCATTAACATGCACAGCTGTCTCGAGGACACGCAGAACACAGCCTACTGCTGGTTTTCAAACCACCTCTATAACCTTTCATACATTTATACATGAGATGACAACAAAAAGTTTGATTTTTTAAATTTTTTTTTAATCCATGCCTTTTTTTAATTCTCTTTTTTGTTTTCTTGAGACTTAAAACAATGTTTCTCATAGTCCTGAAAGAAAAAATAGCAAGAATTTGTCGAAGTGCTTGATTTTACATGACTTATAATAGAGAAAGTTGTCGTTAATTAGTGTTAAAATGACAAATCCTACTTGATGATGGGAGATGGACGATACCAGTAAGTGCTTCAGAAGATGATCAATCAACTTTATGTTTTAAATTACAAGCAGCTTATTGTTGCAGTAAACCTGTAATGCTCGAATCTCATATTATATTCACACATAAAGAGACATTTTAAAGGCTTCTGGAACAATAAAAACATTTTTCAGAAGGCAATTTTTAACAGCACCAAAGGAACCTCAGAGCCTTTCACTGCACGAGTTATATAAGATTTTTGCTTATCACAAGTTTAATTTAATTTAGTCTGTCCTATTTTGTACATATGGAGGGACTCCTATTTCTTTAGTCAATCACTCTGTATTTTTCTGCCTTTTCTTTCTCTTTTTTTTGTCATTTAGTGCTTGTCAAATGCCTTGAGTGTAAACTATACAAGGCATAAATATCAAAACCACTCTGCTATTGGGAATTTTACTACACAGAAAACACACTTATCAAAGAGAAGCAAGACTTGCTGAAATACACAGAAGGAGGCACAATCTTAGATATTTTCTCCACCTTTAAAACAGACCAGTTGTCATTCAGGACACCTGGATGACACAGAAAAGCCTCATCTGAAGTTTCACATTGTGCTCTTCTGTCCTTTGCCAGGATGCAGAGCAGCAGCATCAGGGCAGGTCTGGGTTTGCAGAGCAGTAACAGCTGTTTAAGATGAATTATCCAGGACAGAGGAAAAGTGAAGCACAGAAGGCATCTAGCCCTACACCAAATTTACAGCTCTCTTCATCCAAAAGCAGCCAGGGCATCAATTACAAGAGCCAAACACCCGCCCAGGAGGAGCAGCAAGTACAGATACACATCAATAGATGCAAAACTCTGCAAGGTGAAGGGCAGACATCAATTCTGAGGTGCAGCTCATGGGTCCCACAGGCATCCTCAGTGGGGCTTCTTTGCACAGCTTTGGCACTGCAGGGACACACAAAAATCAGGCCACAGGGGTGCCATCCCAGCACCAAATCCAACCTTTTTCAAATCCAGCTGTACCCACCACACATAATCCCATTTCTTTGAGCCCAGTGGGAATTTTGCCATTAGCTTCACTAGAGCCAGGATTTCCCTTGCAGACTGTTTTTCAATCCCACCTGTCAGGGCAGTAAATCAAAACAAGGTGGAGCAGAGATGCTGAGCAAATGTTCCAGTGGGAACAGTGGCTGTGAAAATCTCATGTGCAAGGAAAGGCAAGCAAAGCAAAGCCTGGAGTGAATGCCAAGTGTCAAATGCCAGGGTAGGTCCATTAAAGGATGCCTGCTCTTCCAAAGGCGTGATGAAATCACAGAGCTTAGCTGATAAGCAGCAATGTTTAGAAAACACTGATATAACTTGTGACAATAAACTGCATTTCAGTGTTTTACAGCTGTCCTTTCAACGTGCTCATGAAGACACACGTGGTCATGTCTGTGGACAACTGGGCAGGAAATCAGTGATTTTCCTGGATGCTGGCTGACCTACTGATACACCTCCAGGCAGGGCTTTATTTTGGTTAAATGGAGGTTAGAGGCATCTCAGTCATGCATGCCCTGTTCCTCCTGGCACAGCAGATGAAAAGTTCTTCCACCTAAAAATCCTAATTTTAGCACTCACACCAATTATTTGATGTATCAGCCCAAGCTACACATGCAATTCTGAGTGAATTGCCACGTGAGCTCAGAAGAACACATATCAACTCTCATCACCCAATATAGCCTGGCTTCCATGTACAATCTGCTTTTTATATAATGCCTGTGAAACTAAGGAGACTGGCACTCATACTGGGGGATTTCTAAGTGATTTTCCTGCCAGTGGGCATATTGTTGTTGATTAAAAAGATGAGAGAAGTGCAAAACCAAAGGAATTACCAGCCTGTCACAGGAGTAACTCATTGCCTGAGCTGGAATAAAAATCCTTCACACCTCCAGTGCCTTCAGTTGATCCACCCCTCCCTGTGATCTCTGTCAGGCAAGATCACCTGAGACTTAAAATCACAGAACCACAGAATTATTTAGGTTGGGAAAGACCTTTAAGATCATCAAATCCAACTGCTAAGCCAACACTGACAAATCCATCACTAAACCATGTCCATGAGTGCCACATCTACAGGGCATGTGAACAGTCCCAGTGTAGGGGATGGGAAAAGAGAATATAGTGAATTCTCACTGGACTACCAGGAGAAAAGTATGGCTGGAAGATGATTTTGAGGCACTTACAGCCTGAAGCAAATTGACCAAACTTTGCAATATTTATAAATTGTCCTTTATCACACTCATGATCAGGAATAAAAACAACTTGAATCAGGGGCTAGATTAATATCATTTGTATCTGTAGATTTAATTTGGTTGGATTTTTGACATTCAAAAGCAGATCCTTCCAAAACCTTCAATTAGGAGGGAGCACCACAGCACTCTTAGCCCAAAACACTTGTCTTAGAGCAGTAAAACAAACTCTGCATGTAAAGCAAATTTTATAAATAATGTAACATAATCTGGGCAGAACATAGAAAAACTGGACTGGGAGCCTGACTCAGAAAATACTGTAAATAATAGCCCCAGATATAAAAAAAACCATTCCAATGACATTCTGCTGAGTAGTCTAAAGCAGGCACCATTGGCCTTTAAGACCAATCATCTCCATATCTGTCATCAGAGAGCAGCTCCAGCTGCTCTGGAAGGCTGCATGTTCCATGTTACCTATGCTGCAAATCTGTCCAGCTCTCACTTCATCTGAAATCTGTCCAGCTCTCACTTCATCCAAAATCTGTCCAGCTCTCACGGATCTGGAATGTCTCCTAACAAGTTAGAAACGTCACTCTGCACATGTGACTCCATGAATGGTTTGGGTTGGAAGGGACCTTACAGATCATCTCTTTCCATGGGCAGGGACACCTTTCAGCAGATCAGTTTGCTCAAAGCCCCATCCAACCTGTCCAAGAGACAGACACAACAGTGTTGGTCATGCTTTGAGTGTAGAGAGGACTCCCCTCAAAATCCAGAGGTGGGTGTCCAGAATTGCTACCAATTCCATTCCATTTTCCACAGTAATTCCTCCTCAATTTGTACAATTCACCTCAATGAGCTGTTTGAATGTGCTCAAAACAGAATTCTTATAAATGGTAACAGGAGATTATCATGTTCACAATAAGCAGCCAGATGGAACAAATCTTTTGGTTCCCTCAATATTTGAAGCACATGCACACCATTATCAGACAGGTAGTGCAAAACTTTCCCTCCCTCAACAATTTCCTACAATCCCGTTCTGTATTTGTAATTATTTTAGTGTGCACGGGCTATGAAAGCACTGACTGACAGCAAACACAGACAATTCAATATAGAGGATGGCAGAGAGCTAAGGGGAAAGTGTGTGTGTATCTCCAGAGCATCTGTGAGCAGGCTGTTTTGTTCAGCCCCACAGAGTGTATTGACTGTTTCTACTGTATGAATGAATATTTCATTCCAACACCACGTGCCCATCTCCTGCCTCTCGCCCCTGAGAGGAAATTTGGCTGCACAGAGAAATCCTAGATCTTGCTTCCTCCTCATCCCTGCAGATGAGAGCAGGGACCACACACCAGCACGTGTTGGTTTCTGGAGGAAGCAGTGACTGCCATCCAGGGACAGGCTCGCTGCCCACCCTGCTCCTGCCAGCTGCAGCATCACACCCCAGTGCATGGCAGCAGCATCTCCCAGAGATTGTCACTGTAGATCACAGAATCATCACAGAATGGTTTGGGTTTAAAGGGACCTTAAAGATCCAAACCCCCTGCCATGGGCAGGGACACCTTCCACCAGTCCAGCTTGCTCCAAGCTCTGTCCAGCCTGGCCTTGGACACTTCCAGATATTCCATCCTCTGTCCCCAGTGCCTGGAATCAGTCACTCCCTGAAGGCAGAAAGGGAAAACCTACACAAATTCGTATCTCAGCCCTCCCTTCTTGCCTCTGTCCCTCGCTTGCTTTGCTCACACACACAGCAGGGAGCCAGTCCTTCCCCAAAAAACAACTCTTTCTAAAGGATGCAGCAGGCACGGCTCAGATGCACATCCAGCCACGAATCACAGCTGCTCGCTCCTGAAAGACCACCAATAAAAGAGAAAAGCCATAAAGCTGCAATGCTTAGAGTAAATATATCAGCAGCCTAATTACTCTCTTGGGAATAAAGATGCACTTTGTGCATTACTGGGCTCTGTGTATGTTTAATAATAGGGGCCAGCGTGGGCTACAGAAGAGCTCACTGCCTCCTGGCATGGTAACAGCAGAACTCAGAACAATCTAGCAAAAGTGCTTTTGAATTATATTACTTAAAACCCCACTCTCTTTACTGCATCATTAGCTAGAGTACATTCTCACCAATACTAGCCAGGATAAATTTCAAGGTGCTTTACCCTGTTCTATACAAGTCACCGGTTTCATTTAAAGCCTGTTTTAAGACTTCAACATCCGCAAAACAATGCCTTTCTTACTTCAGCCCTTTCTCCCAAAACCTCACCATTCTTCCCAGCAGATTAAAAGTTTTCAAGTGCACCAAGTGGCAGCAAAAAGGCAATGGGCATACCTGCAAGTGCTACTCTTCTGCATGACGTCAGCTCGGTGGTACCCAGAGAGTTTACAAAATCCGTCATTACTATAAACTACGGGCCAGTCCACAATCTGGGCGTTTCCCAACAAAAAACTGGATTCTGAAAGGACAAAGAGCAAAAGAAAGAAAGGGCTGTTGTCAGTGGTAAAGTACAGTGAAATCCTCCTTGTGTTACACAGCAGATGAAGAGTTATCCGTGGCAGTAACTTCGGTCTTGACATTTCAGAGGGAAATCCATATGGACATCTGAAAAGAATTTGTGATTAAACAAGGTAATGCAAGTAGCTTCCTACACCACAAAACACCAATATAAGCCCCAATGCTTTAACAATTTAGACAGCATTCATTTATTCACAACATCTGGGTAAGATAGCATGCTCTATTTTTATTTTATACATATCTTGAAAGCAACTTTAAACAAACATGCAAACTGAGTTTTAAATGCTGAATTGTATGCCTGCCCAAAGCTGATAATGATTCTTTTGCTTGAGAGAAGTAATTTTTATTTCCTGGCAGGTCTGAGTCTGTTTTGCAGGACACAGCCAGAATCCCTGGGATGAGGGACAGAGTGCCAGGTGACGCTGGGGAAAGCAGATGTTTTAAAATTGTAGTCCATGGTAATCTTCAGTGTTTTCTTTATTTTTATGGTTAGTTTTCAATTTCATTTTGACTACAGCTATGGAACTGTATGGTCCCATTCACTGGTGCTAAAAAGCTATTAAAATGTAACTATTAACAATCATTGCTGCTTAAAAATTATAGGAAATGTTCCTTTCAGCAGTTCTTGTGGGGTGAAAAAAGGCTATTTTTACAAATTTTCCTCATAATAGCCAAAGAATGGTTATGACAACAACAGTTGTCATATGGTGTGCATATGGATTTTAACATAAAAGTGGCACTGAATTTGCATACACTGCACATGCCCTACTCAGAGTGTTTATAACTGTGACTGGATTGAACATTCTGCAAATACTATTCTAATGAATATGGAACATGTACTTAAAAAAATAGCATTTGTATCTTTTTTCTTTATAAGCATGAATTTAGAAAAAAAAAATAATCTGGAGATTATTGGATTTTCAAAAAAAATCAGATTTTAAAATATTTAAAAAGCCAACCAATGGGAGAAACAGAAGCCTGGATTTTGTGAAATCTAACACTTTTACGCTCAAGGCATTTATTCGGACCCACCACAAATATTCTTTAAGCCTAAATGTCAACTTTAAAAATTTGCTTTTCTGCCCACAGGAAGATGCCCTCACCATAAACAGCAGGAGACATGGATTAAAGCCTGAGCATTACATAAAATATCCCTGGATTCCAGCAGCCCCTTTCTGCTGAGACTCAGCCCAGCTCAGGGGACATCCTAAACCTCTGGGGACCAAAGGGTTTGCTGGAGCTCATCCCACTGTTCTGGTGTTCCCCCCACACCTGCATCTCCACTGATGCCCAGAGATTTTTTAGCTTTTTATATATTTTCATATATTTGTAGCCTTGTAGATTTTGAATAGTTGTATACTTCCTAGTACTTTCCCTGCCCTTTCTCATAATAAGATAACCCCTTATCTAACACTTTCTTGAAATTCTGTTTAATCTTATACTTAAGGAGAGAATTTCTGATAATGATATTGTGTTTTCCACCAGAACTTAACAGATACAAGAAAATAGGACAAAGAAGCCCCAGGACCAGCTCCAAAAGGCTGACCCAAGGGTGGGTTACTGGGGTAACTGATTTCCTATTGAATGTACTGGCTAGGTAGACTAATTAATTAACCTTATAAAAATTGTGAAAATCCTTTTTCATGTGTGCACAGAGCCATATTTGTGCACCTGAAAGCTTCCATTAAGGAGTTGTTGTTTATCTTACCACTTTAACACTGTTGCAAGGTTTTTTCCTTTTGTCATTAGGCAGCAGCACCTCCAGTCTGGTAAGGGGGAGACACCCCCAGCTCCCCAAATCTGGGCTCTCCCCATGGCTGCCACCCCATCACCACCACACTCCAAAAGCTGGAGATGCTGGGAGCACCAGCAGCTCTGAATTTCTATCCCACAGGGAAACAACCCAAGGCTGCAGGTTAAATTTGGAAAGATTGTCTTTACAGAACCATCTCTAGCCAAAATTCTGCTCACACATCTCGTCACAAAGAGCACAGCCTGGCAGTGATGCACTCAGGGATGCTCTGCACATCCCTGAGCTCCCCAGAGGCCACAGTCCAAAAGCAGACAACCCTCCTGCACAGCCTCCCCATCCAGAACTCAACTGCATGTTCCCACCACATCACTGCTTCAGGACACACAGCACACAGCACACAGCACAAGATATGTGGTGCAGCCAGGTAAATAGCATTTAATGGTTGTCTTCTATGGATTTTATCATTTTCTGCACCTGAGGCTCTCAAAATATTTTATAAGGCATTCACCAAATTGATAAAATCCACAAGAATTTGGATTTTATCAATTTGCTCATTATCAATTTACCCCTTGGGTGGGAACAAAACGTAAAACCAAGCTATTGACAAGTTGTTGTAGGTTTGTTTTTCTTTTAAATACCACAAAATTTGATGTAAAAAATATACTAGAAACATCTTGGTAGATATTAGTATTTTTCATTTTTAAGGTTAGATCAGATCTGTAATATTCACATTAGAAACTTGACCAGATATTAGAAGGTGTTTTCTTTTGTCCCCTTGAATTTTCTTTGCTTAATTATGTTTTACCCTTGTCTCCTAAGCAAGTAAAGCTCATTCATCCATGCTCAGCACAGGAATATGAATCACAGAACCTTTTAGGTTGGAAAAGACCTCCAAAATGATTGAGCACAACTGCAAACCCAGCACTGCCAATCCACTACCAATATCTGTGTGTGTACCAATAAATACCAATGTGTGTGTGTCCAATTCCAGCTGAAGAAAAATCTCAAATCAATGTTTGCCTCTTGTAAGAGACCAATAAATCCAACTGCAGGCACAAACCACAGGAATCCACGTTTCATTAATGCTGTGCTCACTGAGCAACTTGATAAAATTGAAGGAAGAACAGGTCAGTGTCTGACCCTTCAGTTTTATTGGGTACCCAAATCTCAGTACTCACAGAACTCTCTGTATTTAACCTACCTTATATTTTATCAGGAGTCGTTATTTTCTTCAACCAAGACACAATTAATTCTTCTCTATTTCTACAGTTACAAATCATAACTCCAGGCAGATTTAATTCTACACAAGCCAGTCCATACCCAGCTGTAAAAACCTAAACTGTGTACTGAATGACAGGACACTTTAAAAGAACCTCTCTGTTTCTGACCATAATTTTATAAAATATGATTTTCTATTATCACCACTAACTACTCATTTCAAGTCCATTTCTGCAGTTCTCTCCAATGAAGATGGAGCCACAGCCACTTCTGGACCAAACCCACCTGCATGCCTGACTTTTGTGCTCCTATATACAGTTCAGATTCATGATTTCCTGGCTTAGAAAAGTCATCACAGTTGTGTCTTTGATTATGATTCCCATGAGTCTGTGGCAAGTTCTACTCTGTCCAATTTCCAGCCTTAACCAGGTGTAAGAAACAAGGGCTGGAAAAAACTTCATTTTATCTCCATCTCCAGTTGCCACAGGGCAGCCAAGAATGGAGGTGTTCAGACTCCCTTCATGGGAGAGGCAACCTCTCCTTCCCTGCTCAAGTCTACAACAGGTAAAAGGGGTGTTTTGTGCCTTCTTCAGAAGAAAAAGAAAAGAAGCCAGCAAAAGGTCTGTAAATAGCAGGATGATGGACATGGAAAGGACACCAGCACCGGGATCTCCATATTCCTGTCAGATCCAGTACACAAGAACTATATTCTGCAAGCAAGTCAAAGAATATGTTCTATTGGAGGTACTCTCAATAACAAGTGCTTCTAAAGAGAATTTAGTCACTGATAACTGGGCATCACTGAATGCACCCACTACACCTACACCGAAACACGTGAATTTACTTTAATTATGTCACAACTTCACTGAAAGATCACAACAGGGATTGCCAAGGATAGCCAAAGTTATGAAGGGCAGGGCACAAATGCAGCTGACATGAAGGTGCTGTAAACTAAAACTTGTGCAATATCCGTGCTGTGGCCCAGAAATGAAAATCTCTCCTCCCAATCTCACAAGTATTTTCCTGCAGGGACTTTCCCCAGTGGTCAGTGAGACACTGGTCACTGCTGAAAGCAAGACAGTAACTCTGGCAGACTCTGGTCTGATCCAGCATGTGGTGACACTCCAGGAAACTGGGATCCAGGTGTCCATGGTGTGGTATCTTGTACTCTGAAAACGCTTACATGCAGCTAATTTCACAACTCACACGATGACTATCCCGAAATCTCTGGTGGTGTGCTCATCCTTCTCAGGTTTCTTCGATGCACTGAAACTACACATCCACTTCCCATTTCCTTACAGATAAAAGGTCAATTTTCATTATTTCTAAGCTTGTCTTGATGTCATTGCCTCCACCAACCATCTTCTCCACCCTCTCCCCTTTCTGATGCACTGTAGGGACCCCAAGTCACAGCCCTGGAGGTTGTGCATGCTCCTTGACTGGACACCTCTGAACACCAGTGTCTGTCTGAAAGGAAAGCAGACTCCTCTGTCTCAGAGTAGCCAGATCCCGCTCAGAAAGGCAGCAGGCTTTTTATTAGCCAACATAACTCTCCTGTTTTCAAGGTTTAATGCTGATGGCAAGGGAACAGGGTATTAGAGGCATACAGTCAGCAAAACTTCAGGCTGGAAAAAACAACTGAGGAAAACAGCTTTTTAAAAGGCACTGCATTTGCTGTTGCCACACTTGTATTTTGTAAAAAGGCTCTTTTGTATAAAGGCAGCCTATGCTGTAGAGCAGAAGCCTTTAATCTTACTCTATCTTGCAGCAGCTAGCACTCAACATGGTGCTGAGCCTTGTGTTTGTTATTAAAACAAAATAAAAAGACCACAGTGTACGAGCAATTTCTTTAACTAACAAAATGCCTAAAGCAGTGTAAAATTCATGTTATGTAATGACAGGAGAGCAAGAACAGCTAAATCATTTCAGGAGATATGCTTAACCAAGTGAGAAACATTGTCTCTAATCAT